CTGGCATTTTATTTTCAGGCTGTATAAATAGCATCTATACTGCTTTCCCACTTCCTTGCAGTCTGAATGGATCATTTTGAATCATTTTTGAAGCATACACAGCCCTACAAATTGGTACAAGACTGCTTATTCTCACATCATCAAAGCATCATCAAGTAGGAAGGTGAAAAACTGCATTTTTGTAATAAGGCTACTTTGGAAAAATTGTATCATTGCACTGAACTTTATTAATCCATTTTTTCAAGATTGTTAATAAGTAGTTTATGGGCTTGGAGCAGCAGAACACCTGACCGACCTGCTACTCCTAAGCACTTTTGCACTTAAAGTGATACAAAAAGAGCTGAATGTTCATGCAGCACCTTGAGTAAAGTGATAGCTTTGTGCACCCCATAGCTCAAGATCATTTTGTAAGCTTTCTTTATACTTTTTTTTTCATTTAATGTGATAAAGAATGTGTAGTGCAACATTATTCAAAAGGAAAAGAAGGGATGAATGACAATACATACTTAAGTTTGATATAGATGTATCTCTACCTTATATTCCCTTTCAGATATAAAACAAAATTAAAATGAAACCCACACACAGAGACAAAAAACACTCAAAGTTTATGTAGATATAATGAATTGTTTTCATAAACAATACTCTTCTTTCTTTCCTATATTTCAAGATACAGAGCTGCTCCTCAAATATCCTAACTGTACCTGGTACCCTTTTCTGATTCAGAGCTGTATTTATAATGCACCGTGGTTTTCTTAGAAGTAATTTACTCCAAAATTTTCCTCAAATGCTCTTTCAAAAGCAGCAGTACAGTAAGCATGAAGCACAGATTAAGGATTCCTCCATCAGATTGTTTTCCTGCTCCAGTCCTTGCATCCCACAGGGGAACTCAAGGCAAAAGTGTTCAGAGCACTGTTTCTCGTACAACTCCAATGAGGCTATGAGGCCGTTCTGGCTCCATCCTCTGCGTTCTCTTGTCCAGCACCCGGGTCCTTGTTGCAGTAAAAGTACTTATATCTCCACAGCTCTCCAAATGCAAAAGTCCTGGATACCTTCTAAAAGGCAGTGTGTGTGCTTCTGCTACAGATGGGTGAGCAGGAGTCATGATCTTTAGAAAGAAAGAACATTTTTAAAACATTACACTATCAATTGCCATATCTATTTTTATGTGAGAAAAATGATGATCTTTATAAATAAAATGTTAACTACCTTAAAATATAAAAAAAACTGAGGTCATACAATATCTAGCTATTTCATTAAACAGTTGTAGTAACCCTTTAGCCACCAGGAGAGGTTTTTAACATCCTTTGGCCCATTTTTCCTTTTGATTGGGAATGAAGATAGAAAGATTTCAATCACAAGTGGAACTATGTAAAAGTATGGATATGACATGAATGATTATTGCTCCTATGGGTTTTGGGAGGTGTGTGCATATGTATGAGTGGGTGGGCATTGTATTTAGTATCAGCAGTAACTTTCTTTACCATCCTTAGTTTCTTCCCATAAATATTTTTAATTTCTCTTTTTAAAATAATGGAATTCCAGAATGTCAGATTTCTGGTCTCTAGTTCTATATCTCACTTCATTATTCACATTTTACCTTTCATGTTGACCTCTGTCAGTATAGGTGGGATGGTCTAATTCTGCAAGGACATACTCCCTATTTCCTCTACTCCACAGCAGGAGTTTTCTACCATTATCCATTTTCTGCAGACAAGCATATCCAGCATTGAAAAAGGCTGACCCTGACCCATCTTTATGTGACTAGTTAAACTTCGGGACAGCTTGAGCCACAAGTATTACTTTTCCTTTTAACTTACTAAGTAAACAAAATCCTATTTCACCCTTAAGAACTGCAATATAACTGGATAATGCAAATTTATAACTTCACAAATATTCCTTAAATAATTACTTTATGCTTCCACTAATTTGGAGAGAATTAAAAAAAATTAAAAAACTAATTCAGAAGTGACAAGGGATTAAATAAGGGCAAAAGGTTCACCACTTCTTGCCCTTCTTTGCTAACCTGGGTCAAAGAAACTAAATCATGAACTGCAATCAAAGAATAAATCTGTAACTCTGAACTTTTCCTTCATTAGAATTGCTAGAATGAAGAAGGAACCACAGACTGTTTGATATGATGAAAAACTACCTTGTCTTCTCCCCCACCCCCAAAAAAGCTAACATAGGACAGCAACACATGCTCAAAGTTACATTTTGAACTGTGCTTTACTTCCCCAAATACAGCTGCAAACTGTTTAGGAGTTTGTATACTACCTGCTCAAGGAAACTGGCACTGGTGATGGCTTCCTCCATGTGCTCTTCATCAGATTTTAAAACAGATTTTATGTCTTCTACTAGTTCATGTATGTCAGGTGTCATGTTGCAGGGGGACTGCTCCAAGAATTTTGTCACAAGAAGCTTGGTATCTATATATGATTTGTAGTCTATCAAAGACCGAGGCCTTGAGCGCAGGGCCTTTGCTCTCAGACTTCTTCGCAAAATGACAGCAGCCAGCTGTGGTTTTCGGTCTGTTTGAGTGGCAGCTTCACAACTTAGCACTGGACCTGGAGACAAAATAAAATCTCACTAGATGCACCTGGGCAGTTTACACACACACAGAGAATCACAAACATCCACGGACCAGTCACAAAACCTCCACACACACTCTTTTTTCTATCTGCATCGCAATGTTGCACATACGTTAGGGGCAGAGTTCGCATCATGAAGTTGTAACGCTTGTTTTGACATTCTGATGGAACTGCTGGATTCTGAGGATCCTCTATAGTTGGCAAAATCCCATAATAGAAAATTGATCCCATAAATAAAATATAGCATTGCCTGAATGAAACAATGCTAACAATATTCTGAAGCCAAACCAAACTGAAGAAACCCTATTTTTAGTTACTAAGTAAAAAATATATGAACTGCACTTCAGGTATTTGGTATTTTAAATCAGGGGCTCTGTTACAGAATGTCCATCCTCATAGCAGTGAATCTGAGCCCATCAGAGATTTCATTGTCAATGTTACAAATAGAAGACAAACTCCATGACTGTAAAATAATTACCAATTACTAAAAGAATTTGGCCCTGATGCTGTTTGATCTTTATGTCAATGATATCCCAGGATTTCTCCGTACTACGGATGTTCACATGCCAAAGATCCTGAACAGACACATCAACATTCTTTTGCATGCAAATGACATGGTTTTGATGGCACACTCTCAAGTAGGCCTGAGAAGATTGATGGGGAAATTTGGTGCCTATTGCACTTCCAACTTCCTGAACATTAATAAGACTAAATCCAAAGTGGTGGTTTTTAGAAAAAGATGGCCCAAATACAATTGGCACTCTATTTGTACTTATAAAACAAATAGATTTCTTCTCATAACTAGGGGTGGTTTTTACAGATACAGGGTCTTGGGCTAACCACTTTAAACAAAGTTCTATAAAGGCAACAATAAGCTCCAAAAAGCTAACTAAATTACTTAGTTACAGTCACCCAAGTTCTCCGCTCTCCATTCTAAAGCTCCACAAGGCAAAAATTGTACCAATACTAACATATGGTGCAGATTTGTGGGGACTATCAAAGGGCTCCTTACAGGAACAAAATCAAGCATGCTTTTTAAGAACTATTTTAGGGACTGACAGGAATACACCTGGAGCAGCAGTAAGAGCTGAAACAGGCACCCATTCCATTTATAGTCTAACAGTAATCAAAGTCTTTAATTACTGGTGGAGGATCCTCTCAATGG